ATAAATAAATAAACCAAAAAAAAAAAAAAAACTTCAAGTGAAACAGGGAACTGTGTGGTGTGTGACTATGTAGAACAAGTTGACTAGGATCACTTGTCTGTAAAGTATTTTCAGTCTTTGCATTTTACTCTCTCATGTTAACTTTCCACACAGCCATTTTAGAAAGGGGTAGGAAGACAGAAGAAGGAAACACACTTGTTAAAAGCACCGGGATAGAAGGGCTGGAGGGTGTAGCTCATCAGCAGAGTGTTCACCCAACACACAGGATTCAAGTATGTGCCTTGGGTTCAAGCAAATACAGTTAAAAAATACAGTGTGCACAAACCCAGAGCTTTCTTGACATAGAAACCTGGCTTCAGTTCTAGCTCTAAGAGATAAGCTAAGCTATAGAAATATATACAGAAGTTATGTAAATATGTAAATTTAAAAGATGAATGGAGGGGAGAGTGGTGTGGGAAGACAAAGTACAGTGTTATATGTATGAACATGTACTAATGAAACCCATTACTCTGTACGCTAACCAGAAATATCTATGAAAAGTGGAAGAAAATTTATGAAAAGCAGCAAGCAGTTCAACAGACAGGCAGAGGCAGTATCATCTTGTTCCTCAGTAACCCCCAAGGAAAGCAATACCTTAGAAAGGCCAGGGTGAGCATCAGAAGCTGGAGGCCAGCCTGGAATACACGGGACCCTGTGTCAAGTGAGCATGGTAGCGCACCCCTAGCTGCCTGGGAGGCCAATGCAGGAAGACTGAGCCTGAGTTGGAAACCAGCCTAATAACACTTAGCAAGTAGTCCTCTCAGAAATAAGTAGATGTGGTGCTACACGCTATCACCACAGCACTTGGGCTGAGGCAGGGCACTGCCATGAATTTCAGCCCAGTCTAAGTTATAGATGAGACCTTGTCTCAGAAAGCAAGCAAGCAATGCGATCTACCATTAGGGAAAAAAAAATCACAGCTTCCTTTTTATTCCTTTCAATTCAGAGGGCTGAGATGGCTGTGAATTTGTACAAACATAACACTGTCTTCCTTTGTTTAAAGATTTTATGTTCAGATGCTTTGTGAGTGCAGTTGCCTGCACAGACCAGAAGAGGGCAGCAGATCCCCCAGAGCTGGAGTTATAAACTGCTGGTGGCTGAGATTTGAACGTGGGTCCTTTGCAAGAGCAGTAAGTGCTCTAAGCCATCTCTCCAGCCCTGTTGTCTTCCTTTTGCAATCAAATCTTCTACTGACCACCAAACACTAGATATTTAAGAACTACGATTAAAGACACGTGAGACCATGCCCAGCCAGGTTTCTTTTTACTTTTCAGTAGTTTGTAATACAAGTCCCTATAGTGATGTTTTGTTTGTATTTTAACAAATAAAGCTTGCCTGAAGATCAGAGTGCAGAGCTAAGCCACTGTAGCCAGGGAATGGTGGCACACACCTTTAATCCCAGGACTCAGGAGACAGAGGCAAAGGGATCTTTCTTAGTTGAAGGCCACCCTGGGCTACGCAAAACTGATCCAGTCTAAGAGAGAAACAGAACTCACACAAAGGTGATCCTAGCACTAAGGATCTCACACCTTCAGTCCCAGCACTAGGGAGGTGGAGACAGCAGTTATATGGCTGGGCCAGGAGAGGAATATAAGGTGGGAGGAGGCAGGAGCTCATTGCAGTCTGAAGTTTAGTGGAGATAGTTTGCGGTCTGGAGATGAAGTCTGAGGACGCAGTCTGAGGACAGGATCGCTCCTTTGGTCTGAGCATTGGTAGAGGTAAAAGGTCTCTCTAGTGGCTGCCCACTCTGCTTCTCTGATCACTCAGCTTTCACCCCCAATATCTGACTCAGGGTTTTTTATCTCTTGTTTTATTATTATTTGAGACAAGGTTTTTCTGTGTATCTCTGGCTGTCCTGGAACTCACTCTGTAGACCTGGCTGGCCTTGAACTCACAGAGATCCACCTGCCTCTGCCTGAGTGCGGGATTAAAGGCAAGCACCACCACTGCCCAGCCTGGTTTTTTACTATTAAGATAAATTAGAGCCTGTGTTACAAGTCACCCCTATGGGTTTAACATCATTTAGAATAAGTGAGGCAGGAAAAGAGAACTTGGGAGAAGAAAGAGCAGACTGACTCCATCAAATCCAATAGCTCTTCTGCAACACGGTGTTCTCTTCCACTGAATGACTGGAACAAAAATGTCACCCACGATTTTCCTGAGTCCAGGTCCCATATAAAGCAGTTCTACATCTTGTGCCCGACACAAAGAGGTTTCCTTGTACTAAGGAAGCAGAATTATAAACAATTCTTTATCCACCACACCACCAGCTCTAGAAAATAAATAAATAAAAACCACCTTGTCAGCTCTGACACAAAGTCAGAGAAGGCTAAAAGGATCCACTCTGTTCTATTGGACAGAGGAGAGCAAGAGTGTAAAGTAAAATGTACCATTCGATAGTAGCCTTGCCTTTGTAGAGTGTGTGAGTAAAAAACAGTATCTTTTGGCTGTGGGATGAGCTGGGAAAATGGCTCAGCAGTTAAGAGAACTGACTGTAGAGGTTCTGGGTTCAGGTCCCAGCATCCACATGGCAACTCATAACCTGTAACTCTAGTCCCAGGGGTTCCAACACTCTCTTCCAATCTCCTTGGCACTACACATGGTACACAGATAGACATGCAGAAAAAACACACATACACATAAAGAAAATTTTAAAATAAAAAGATAGGAAGGAAAAATATTTATTCCCACTTTATACAAGAATAAACATAATAAACTCAGAGGTATGACTTGCCCAAAGGAAAAAGCTTAGTAATTTTCTCCAGTAAATTTTTAGTACATTTATTTTATTCTCCACCTACCATGTACATGTGTGTGCATGTTTGTGTGTACATGCCATGCATGATCCATATGCGGACGTCAAAGGACCACGTGTGGGAGTCACATGCATCCTGAGGACCAAACTCAGGTCATCGAGCCTGGTAAGCACCTTTACCCATGGAGCCACCTCACTGGTCCTGGCGATTGGTTTTATCAGCGCTGAAGCCAAGTCTTTTATATTTCAGGGCTCCAGGCAAAGGGATTTGGAAAGCATGGTAAACAACACTCTCTTGCCACTGCTTCATAATAAGATGTCTTAACCCAAGGAGAGGGCTATAATGGCTTGGATCATAAAGACCATAAATGTTCACCCAAAATGCCATGGTAAAGACTGAGTCAGTAGCAGGCAGATAGGTAGATGAAGGAAACTGTACACAGAAGTTAGGTCACTGAGGGTGTTCCCTGAGATAAGTGTTTTTGCTCTATCACAGTATCTCCCGTGAGCAAGAGGGCAGTTCAGGAACTGAAACTGTGATCCCCAAAAAAACCTTTTCCTATTTGAAGCTTTATTATCCTAGCTATTTTGCCACAGTGATAGAAAGCTGACTAATAAGAGCATACACATTTAACCCCAGCACTCAGGAGGTTGAGGTAAGCAGATCTCTAAATTCAAGGCCAGCCCGGTCCGGTCCACATAGATGAGTTCTAGGACAGCCAGCACTACACAGTAAGAGCCTGTCTCAAAAACAAAACAAAACAAAACACAAAAAAAAAACCCAAAATTAAAAAAAAAAAATCATATGGGCCACAGTACAGAGTGTGTGCCAGTATTCCCAGCACTCAGGAGGCTGAGGCAAGAAAATCATGAGTTTAATTGTGGCCAACTTGGGCTACACAAGACCCTTTCTGAAGCAACATACATGGGTTTAGAATATGAATATCCACAAGTGTTAAGTGGTAACTACAAAGGAATATTCAAGATTAACACTCTTGAAGGAAAACCATTTTAGTGCTAACTTTTAACGATGAGAGAACTTTCCTTTGGGTACATATATTCTTGTAGGACGACTCCAAAAAGTCAACAAGGCACGCTCAGATTCTGTCAATCAGTTTTTAATATATGTCATAGGTAGTTCATATGAAGGCTTAAATTACAAAATTAGCTGCCACAGTCCGAATGTGTGGGACTTTAAGAAAGCTTATATTACTCAAAAGATAACTAAGCACATAAATTTTGATTCTAAAATGTATTTTAAAGGTTTGTAAAACAATGTTAAGTCTAGAATCATATGGCCTTAAAGTGATTCAATTTTGTTATTCTTAATAACTTAACCTTGTGAACTGTTAAAAAAGCATACACCTGCATATCCAGTGCACACATTTCTATTAACCTAGACAAAGTCACATGAGAAACCTCATATAATCCCCAAGGCAACAGCACACACGGTTTTCACTGCAACTTACCGTTACTGCCTCAGAACACAGAAAGCATCAACAAAAACCCACCACCCAGCTCCCTGCAAAAAACAACTCTTTCCCATCCCAGCAAAAATTACCTGGTACAAACAGTGACTTAAAAAATGCTTTCTCAGTAGGAAGCATTTATAAAATGCAGAGATCTCAACAAGCCAAATGCTTATGCAGATGGGGGCCTCTCCCCACAAAAGCTTCTGCCTCAAGAGGCAGACAAAACTCTTATCGCATTTAAGAAGGCTCACGTTTTAAAAGCATTACTTATGCACACTGATGGTTGTGTTTCTAAAAGCACATACCGGCTTCAACTGTGGGCAAGACAGAAGTGGAGGGAGAAGAAAGGAGCACGCAGAAGACAGACAGCAGCTTTTCCGTGAAGACCCAACAGGTTGCAGCCACCATGAAAAGCACTGTGACCTCATAGAGCAGTGATCTGAGCTAAGGGAAGCAGCTCACTTCTCATGCATCTTCCTCAGGAAAAACAAAACTACTCCAAATTCAGCGCTCACACTGTCATTACCCCATAGTATCAGGCAAGGAGAAACTGCTCCAGTACTACCCACCTCTAGAATCTTCTATGACACCTCTAGATTTCCTCCTATAATACTGTCTTCAGCATGGCCCACACACGAAATACACACAGCACTACGTTCTAAGTCTCTGAAATGTATCACCACATACAGTGCTCTAAATTCCACTGTTTTCACAAGTGTAATGTGGACACAGGAAAAACACCAAGCAATTTTTATTGTGCAACTCCAATAGAAATTCTTGGGATCTTGGTTTAGAGTCAGTCTCCACAGTTATTCCAATTGCCCAGTTTAAAAAAAAAATTTCTTTCCATAAATTCCATGATTGTTCTTCAAACACCAAAGTAAACCACTGATAATTCATGTTATAATTTAAAAATATTTTAAAACTACATGTACTTTATATACCATTCTTTTATAAAATAAACTAATTTGATTATCTGGAAGGAAATAACTGAAAGAGCCCTTTCACTGTATCTGTAACCACCGTAGAACTCCAAACCGAGAGGAGAGGGGAGAGAAAGGGAGGGAAGGGTGGACTAAGGACTTCTCAGTCACCAGAATATGTTGACTTTAGGGGAGAGACGGACTCGCGGACCTCTGGGATGACTTTACATGGCTTTCACTTTGATTTGCTTCATTTTCATCTGCTTCTTCTCCAACTTCTTTTGTTCTCTCCTCAAAGCAGCTTCCTGTGAAATAGGGAGGGGAAGAAAGATCCAAATTAAGCTCAAAGCACACACTGAAGAAACCGGGGGCTGGAGAGTCAGCTTGGTGGCTATAGCTTATGCTGCCCCTGCAGGAGCCTCAAGTTCTGCCGCCAGCACACGTCAGGCAGCTCACCACTGCCTGCTACTTCAGCCTCAAGGGAGCGGGTGCTTCTGGTCTCCGTGGTACCTCTGCTCACCCATATTACTCAAAATCCCTTTGGGGAGTTGGGGAGGAGGAGTTCAAGATGGACCTCTTCATACAGTTCTGGCTTTCCTGGAAGTCACTGTGTAGTCCAGGCTGACCTGGAATTCATAGATACCTGCCTACCTCTACCTCCCAAGTGCTGGGATTAAAGGTGTGGGCTTTTATTCAAGATCTTCGTCTTGCAACCCAGGAAACATTTTTGCAGATACATATAAAAATAAGCACAAATCAAGCATGATAACACACCAGCATTTGGAAGACTAAGGCAGGAGGACTGCAATTTGAGGCCAACATTGGCTACATAGTTCCAGGCCAATCTATGCTATGAGACATCGTTTCAAAAGACAAAAACATTGCCAATTCATATATCAGCAAATAAAAATTAACAAGAAACAAAAAAAGATAATCAAATCTTTTTTTAAAAGATTTATTTATTATGTATACAACATTCTGCTTCCATGTATGCCCGCACGCCAGAAGAGGGCACCAGACCTCATTACAGATGGTTGTGAGCCACCATGTGGTTGCTGGGAATTGAACTCAGGACCTCTGGAAAAGCAGCCAGTGCTTTTAACCACTGAGCCATCTCTCCAGCCCCCAGATAATCAAATCTTAATTTAGATAGAAACTCAACAAAGTTTTGCCTTGCATGTGTTTCTTTTCTTTGAAACAAGGTCTCTCACTATGTTACCCAAGCTGAACTGAAATTCAAACCCCACCCTCTTTTAAACGATAGTCTCATTATTTAGCCATTGCTAACCTATTAATTGCAATTAAGACCATGAATGGGGGCTAAAGAGATGGCATAATGTTTAAGACTATTTGTTGTTTTTCCAGAGGACCTAAGTTTGTTCCTAGCACCCACCAGGTAGCACACAGCCATCTATAACTCTGTCATTCAAGCTCCAGCCCTACTTGGGCATCTCTTATCCACAAGCAGACACATTATTAAAAATAAAAACAGGTCAAGCACTGGTGGTGCACGCCTTTAATCCCAGCACTCAGGAGGCAGAAGCAGGTGGATCTTTGTGAGTTTAAGGCCAGCCTGGTCTACAGAGCAAGTTCCAGAACAGTCAGAGCTATACAGAGAAACCCTGTCTCAAACAAACCAAATAAATTAATTAAAAAAAAAAACCAAAACAAACAGAAGCTAGAGAGACAACACAGTCAATGGAGTGCTTGTCTTACAAGCACGAGGACCCAAGTACATCCTAGAGCCTGTGTAAAGTCTGGAGTGGTGAAGCACTTGCTGAAGAGGAGTGACACTGGCCAGGTAGCCTAACCTACTAAGTGAGTGCAGGCCAGAGAGAGATCCTGTCCCTATACACTCCTCTCCCCTGCAAAAACGCGGGACTGGGAATATAGCTCAGCGGTAAAGCACTTTCCTAGCATGTACAAGGCTCTAAGTTTAACTGCCAGCACCACACACAAAGATGGACAGCACCTTTCAAATGACACCTGAGTTTGTGCTCTGTACACATGTCTGTGTGTGTCTCTTTACCACCACCCCTGCCCTGTCCGTCTCTCCAAACAAAGTCATGAAAGCATCAGGACATGAAAAAAAAGCGAAAAACAAAGCAAAAAGAAACACAAGGGTTTGTTTTTTAACCTCATTGCAGAGAGAGAGAGAGAGAGAGAGAGAGAGAGAGAGAGAGAGAGAAGGAATGGAAGAGAGAAGGGAAGGGAAGAAAAAGGAAGGGAAGAAAAAGGAAGGGAAGCAAGCATGAGGCACAGGAGCAGCATTAAAGGTTCCTGAGTCTCACAGGCAGCATTAGTGACTGGCTATTGGCAACCACACAGTCACACAGCAGCAACTCAGAGCCTCCCTTACTCTGAAAAATGTTATCCAAGACTCAAAATTCTCATCTAAACTCACATCTTCCAGAACTTTGTTCTCTTTTCATTTGCAAGGTTTACAGTTGGACTTTGGTATCTCATTTCAGGAAATATGAGAACGTACTGAATTTTTTAAATGTAACATACTATTGTCCAAGAATCACAAGTTTGGAATATCAGTTATATAAGAAACAGAAACCAACAACAAAACCCACAGAAATACTAGAATTCATTAATTCTGTATCAAGCCCTAATTTTAATGGCAAGTTAATTTAAAATGTAAGGTGTGTATGTCAGCTTATTTAAAGTCCCTGATTTCTTTCTGTTTGGTCTGAACTGGAGCCGTGCTGGGGAAAGAGGGTCATCCATTCACTTTCCGAGTGCACGAACACAGCTTAGGATGGCTGGAAGAAGAACACGGTGCTGTCAGATGACCACATTTCCCAACTTTAGCCCGTGTGCTTTCTACACAGAATTATCAGAGACAGTACAGTACAAACAGGCAGCTGGATAATTAAGATTTATTTATTTTCATGTGCATTGGTGTTTTGCCTGCAGGTGTGTCCGTGTGAGTGTGCCAGATCCCCTAGAACTGAAGTTACAGACAGCTGTGAGCTGCCATGTGGGTGCTGGGAATTGAACTCAGGACCTCTGGAAGAACAGCCAGTGCTCTTCACCTCTGAGCCATCTCTCCAGCCCACATCTGGATAATTAAAAACAAAACAATAGTTTTAGGAAATTCTCACAAGCCTCAACCTTAGACAAAGAACTACAAGCAACTAAAGAACACTGTGAGCAGGAGAAATAATCTTCCCCAGGCAAAAGCACACCAACTAGTTACCCAATACTAAAAGAACAGTCCTGAAAATATACAAAAAACCACTATAAAGACTGAACAGGTTGTGTTTATACATTTAGACACACACAACAGCAACAACAACAGAGAGAGGTCATGAGCTTGAAAGAGAGCTGGGGGAAGGACTAGGTATATGGGAAGTTCTGGAAGGACGAAAAGGGAGGTATGACACAACATAAAAACATATAAACCAGACCCAACAGCCTCAGTGGCGGGGGCATCTCACCTCCAGCCTGCGCTGCTTCTCAGGGTCTTCCTCATTCATGATCCGCTCCTTCTCCGCTCTTTTCTTCTCCTCACGCCGCGACTGTGCAGCCTCCTGTCTCTGCACGTGGGTCAGTTTCAAGAAGTTCTCTTCCACGCGGGCCCGGTTCTTATCTGCTTTTTGTTTACCCTTCCCCAGGAAACAAAGTCTTCATAAGAAACCCGTTTCCATCCCACAGGAGAAAACCCCACTGAGCATTCCTTGGTAAAACTACTCCCTCTTGCACATCAAGTCAACTAGACTCAGTCGCTGCCGTCACTGACAGCTGCGGCTACTGGGGAAAACCAACCATAAAAGGTGCCAATTTGTAAGAAAGGCTTTGGGTCTTACTTCTCTGTTGAGTCGAAACTTTTTGGCTTTGTCAATAGAATAAATCACCATGTTCATCAGGGGTAGCAAAGCCTCCATATCCTTTGGGTACGTGTTACCTGAGCCAGGCACTGGAAAACAAAGCCATTTTCCTATTCAGTTAATGGCAGCATTAACACTTCTGAGTTGGCAGTCTTTCTTAATGCTAACAGACTAGCTCCTTAGAGGAACCCAGAAAGCAACAAGGAGGAATGATTAGCGATGCTGTAGTTTTAAAGCTACTATTTCAGAAGGAAAAATAATCTGAAAACCATTTTCCAAGAGGCTAAGAACTAGCCAGACAGGACCCAGATACTCACCATTAAATGTAAACAGTAGTGTCCTCTTAGTGTCAGGCAGCTTTAAAGGCTGACCCTCCCTGTCATGAAAGAGAAGTCTGTTAAGAGAGAAGGTGAGCAAATGCCTGCAAGAACAGCACTGGACACACTCGGCATCTCTAAGTGGTGATCAACGGTGATCATCAAGCCTGAAGGTTCTTAACACTCATCTACCCGATTCTGTGTCACATTTGAAACCTCAGTGATGTCCCCAGCGGGCAGGATATATTCCCTTTCACCCGGGGAGCCAGAAATATGCCTGTATTTAAATCTGAGGCCATATTTTAAATATTTTTGCTTAATTTTTAAATTTCTAAGTTTATATTTGTGAGTGTTTTGCCTCCATGTATGTATGTAGTATGCAGTGCCCATGCAGGCCAGAAAATGGTATCAAACCTCTGGCAACTGGAATCAGAATAGTTTTTAACATCCACAAGGGAACTGGGAGCCAAGCCATGGTCCCCGGTCTTCTGCATAAGCAACACACTCTCAACTACAAGTCATCTCTCCAACCCTCAACTTCTGCTTTTAATCTTGGTCATTATTCTCTAAAAGTCGAGGCATACAGTTTAGCAATTACTAAAAGCACCTGCATTGTATCAGGTATTACAAGAATCCACAGAGGGTTTCCTGTGGAAAAGGCTATGAATGTTACTGAAAACACGTCACTTTATGTAGGAGACTCAAGCATCCTGAGAACTCGGTAAGGTGCGGATTATTCAACCAACAATCCCTCACGGATTGGAGTGAGCACTGTTTTATAATTTTCTTCTGTCATTATCATTGCAAATTTTGACTGTCAAACAATTGACTTCTGCTCAACCCCAAACAAAAGGCTTGCTGAAAGCTATAATGTAATACTTTGTGTCTGCTGTCATTACTAAATTTAGCAAGGCAAGGATGATGCAACATCATCTCAAAGCATAAGGACCCGAGTAATCTCCACACACAACTAAATCCAGAATACATTTTTGTTGCTGCTACTCCTATTCTGGTATTGGGAAATGAACACATAGCTCCCAGAATGTCTGTTGTTGACACTGAGTCTCACTGCGTATCCCTGGCTGGCCTAGAATTCAGAGATCCTTCTGCTCCTGCCTCTAAAAGCTGAGATCAAAGACTTGTGCCACCATGCCTGTCCAGAATGGCTTTCAGTTGTACTCAATCCCATAGCATATGAGACTAGCCTGCAACTAATAATTCAGGTCACAACTCATTCTCTATCAGAAGTATATTTAGTTATGCTTTACAGAGACTGGCTGCAAATTCAACAAATAAATCCAAACCCAAACCATGAACAATACTGTACACCCGAACAATACTGCCATAAAACCAGAAATTATGGTTTTATATGTCATTTATATGTCATTATAGTCAATGTCATTTGAAAACATTCAGCTGTTCAAAAGCGAAGTGAGAAAAGATGATAAAATATGAAATACTTAGATTTGTATTTAAAGTCAAACACCAGAAATTTAGAAATGGGAAAGGGTGTACCAGCTGCAATGCCTTAGCACCCGCCCTTCCTTGTGAACGTCACCGGGTCAGTGATGCAAACATCCGGGGTTGGGGAGCCCGCCAGTGGCTTCTCATGGTGCACTAACTGGGAGGGCGTTCATTACCAATTTTACTTCCCCACTTGATAAGGAAACCGCAGAGGTCCCTTGTAGCATTCTAACATAAAACCAATAAGGAAAATAAATTTTAATGCTTTATTTCATACATACTCTTGCATAATCTTTGGACCAGAGAACTGGTCTGAAAAATGAACGGATTCAATCTTGTCAGCATAATGCGTAAGAAAGTGAACCATCTAAAAAAAAGAAAAAGGAAAGAATATTAACTAGAGTTTGGCATTTCCAAGCTTTCATAGATAGTCACCTTTAAATCCTTACTTTCATATAAAGTCATTCAGACTAAAATACTTTTTTCTTAAAAAAAAAAAAAAAAAAAAAAAAAACCCAAAAAAACCTAATGAGCCGTCAGGTCAGTCCTCAACTTTAGCTTAAAGAAACGCTTCTCTGTAGCCATCCTCCAGCCCTAGCCTCTGCCATGACGGGATCACAGTGCCTGCCCTGTGTGCCCATCTTTACTTATATGAACAAACTCAGAATGACTTAAATGTCACCACCATAGGATTAAGGCTGCAATCTTTTCCTTAAATTTATGTGTATTGGTGTTCTGCCACAGGTGTTGGGTCCCCTAGAACTGAAATTATAGATAATTGTGAGCTGCCAAGTGGAGGCTGAGAATTGTGCTAGGAACTCGGTGCTCTTAACCACTGAGCCATCATCTCTCCAGGCCCAAGGCTATAATCTTTAAAACAAAACAAACAACAACAAAAAGCCCACCAAAGCACCTGAAAGTGGGCTTGGAGTGTTTGCACACCCTTTAATTTTAGCATTTGGTGGATGGAGGCAGACAGAGCTCTTTGAGCTCCAGGTTACACAAGGCTACATAGTGAGACTCTGTAATGTCTCAAAAAAACAAAACAAGCCAGGGCAGTGGTGGCGCAGGCCTTTAATCCCAGCACTCGGGGAGGCAGAGGCAAGCGGATCTCTTGAGTTCAAGGCCAGCCTGGTTACAAGAGCTAGTTCCAGGATGGGCTCCAAAGCTACAGAAAAACCCTATCTCAAAAAACAAACAAACAAAAAAAAAAAAACAAAACCAAAAAACCAAAACCCAAACAAAAAAAAACAAAAAAACAAAACAAAACCAAAAAAACCAAAACCCAAACAAAAAAAACAAAAAACAAAACAAAACCCAAAACCCAACCCAACCCAAACCAAATCAAAAACCTTGAAAGTTTGAAAGTCATTAGTTCTTTTGGAGAGAACTTTTTATTTTGCTGTGAGAATGTGTGTATGTGTGTGTGTTTGTATGTGCATGTGCTCGAGCACAGTGCACTTGGGGAAGCCAGAAGAGCGCCATATCCCTCAAAGCTGAAGTTATGGGACCCTTGGCTCAACAAGCAGACACTGAGATACGCACTGGAGTCCTTACGGTTTGACTGCAGTACTAACTGCCAGGTTGTCTGCTGACTGACAGCCCTCTGACGGGTTATGACCAGTGTGAGGAAGGAGTACACGGCTGTAACTAATGTACGGCATCAGAGAGGACCTGGTTCAGCTTCAGGGAGGTACCTCCTCAACATGAGAGCTGCTCAATGCCTCATTAAAATGGCGTGGCTTTGCTACTGCTTCTAGTACAAGTAAAGGCTGTGTTTAGCCAATCGATCAAAATCAGCTAGGTGACTCTAAGTATCACAGAAAATGTTTACCATGAATGATCAGTAGTCACAGATTATTTACCTGTTGTTTCAAAAAGGAGTAAAATTTAGTATGTGATTTTTATTTACTTATTCTTTTGGAGACAGAGTCTCTAGCTGTACTCCCTAGCCTGTCTGGATCATGATCCTCTTGCCTCAACCTCTGAGGTGGCTGCCATTATCGCTGTGCACGACTGCACACATCTCCACTGCACTTACCTTTGTGTCCATCATGCCCTCTGTGACTTCTCCCATTTCTGACAGGATGGCCAACGAGTCTGGCAGTCCATACTTTGCTCCAGACTTAGGTTTATCACTACAGAACTCGCTCTGGAAGAAGAAAATGAGAACATAAAACATGGTATTCTATAATACAGACTTTCCCTCAAAGGTTAAGTATGTACTGCCTATTCTGGAGTGGTGCTTAACGTCTGGGTGACGGGACGGTGCGATGCTGCACAGCTGAACTTCTTTGTAATAAAGAGGCAGTGTCTACAGACATTTACATTGGAGCAACTTGACATACCAGATCCTGCATCTCTTTCTGCAGTCGCACCAAAGCTTTGCGAGTGCCAACAGCAAACACATATGTATCCATGTCTTCATCATTCATGGTTACTTTTATTTGCTTTAAAAAGAAAACAAAAACATGACTTACTTGTTAGGATCTATGATGGGTAGATTTCTAAAAGACCCTGAAGAGTTCAGCCTTTTGCTATATATGTTTTCCCCTGGAGCAGAATTCATGGATATAATGGCAGAAGACTCTTAATCAGTTGATTCAAATTAACAAAAGGGGCATTGTCCTGGGTATATCACATAATCCAGCAAGGTATTAATAACTGGGCCCTAGCTGAAGAGAATCCTTGGGGAAAAAATGATCATCAAGGGATGGTTATAAGATCCTGACGGTAATGCCTTCAGGACCCGAGTACTCCCCAGTTGGCAGGTATTGAGAAAATAGGTACCTATAATACAGAGACTGAATTCCGACAAAAATCTGAATGAACTTGTGAGAAGGAAACCCTGGCCCACACTGTTTTCCGCCCCCTAGACCTAATTAGATTCAGCTAACCTACACTGGACCACTTATGTACCGACACTATGAGATAGCAAATGGTGTTGGGTTTTTTTGTTTGTTTGGTTTTGTTTTTTTGTCTTTATTTTTGAGATAGGATCTCATTTTTTTTTTTTTAATTTTGCTGGGAATGGGAATGTGTGCCTTTGATCCCAGTACTCGGGAGGCTGAGATGCTGTGGGATAATGTAGATTAATGAATCTACTTTTACTGAGGTAGGCAGAGCTCTGTGAATTTGAGGTCAACCTGATTTACACAGTGAGACTGTTTAAAAAGGAAACAGAAAAAGATTTCTTATCCGTATCCTATATTCATGAGTGTTTGCCTACACGCAAATCTGTGCACCAGTGTGTGCATCACTCCTGGAGGCTAGAAGAGGGCACTGGACACCCTGGAACTAGAGTAACAGATGGTTATAAACTGGCTGTTGGTGCTGGGAATCAAGCTTGGGTACTCTAGAAAGTAGTCAGTGCTCCCAATCGCTGAGCCATTTCTCAAGTCCCAGATGGTACTATTTTAAGCTGCTGAGTTTGGGCAAATTGTTACAAAAAAACACAGCACTAACAAGTTCATACAGAGTAGGCAAGTGCAAAAGTCAGCAACAAACAGGACCCAAATGGACAGGGTGATATAAGAATTATATACAGGGGATGGAGAGATGGCTCAATGTTAAAGATCAGGCTCACAACCAAAAATATAAGAATTATATCTGAGCTTTGCTTCAGGCTCCTGGCACTCCTGGCACCAAGCTAAAACCTTCAGTATGCTTTATTATTTACTGGGAACCCCTTTCTATCAATCTGAGTTCGCACTAATGTAAGGTGTCCACGTGGCTTCAGGAATGGGACTGATCATGAGATAAGACAAATGCTGAGGACTGGAACTTTCGGCCCTGTTCAAGGACCTTGTGGGGAGGAGCACTGAGCTCTGCTCTTCAGAAATCTGGAACCACATTCAGGAAGTTCCCATACTGTAATGCTGTGAATTTGTTAAAGGGTGGCATGCTGGAGAAGGTAAAAAACCTCCACATATGTCCTGCCCTTTTCTGACAGTGTTTCAGGGTGTAGCTCTGGTCAGACTGGAGCTATGCACACCAGGCTGTCCTGGAACTCACAGAGATCCATCTGCCTCTGGCTTACAGGTGCTAGGATTAAAGGCGTGCACCACCATGCCTGGCATCCCTCATTTTTTTCAACTGCCTATTGCCGAGTTGTGTCCTTAATAAGTCAGTAAATATAAGCAAAGGTTTTCCTTGAATTCTGTGAATCATTCTAATAAACTATTAAACCTGGAGGGAGGTGATGGGAATGCTTAGTTCATAGGTGATCAGCCAAAAGTCACAGTATGGGTGGCCTAGGATTTGAAATTTCCTCCTAAGTAGGGACAATGGGGGTCCTGAACCCTTCAATCTATATGACCTGAAGGTAATTCCAGGCAGTGTCAGAATTAAATTGTTAGATCCCAGCTGGTGTTTAGAGAACCCAAGAACTGGCTATTGTTGGAAAAACATACTTACACAACTAAATGGTTCTTAGTAGTCCGCATTGGAACAGGCAATGTTATAAACCTAAGAAGTCTGATATGATAAAGCATGGTTCTACTTACACTAATTATATTTCTTAATGGTTGGGTCAAATTTTTAGTATGTGGAAGAATGGATATGTGGGGCTGGAGATAGATGGCTCAACAGTTAGGAGCACCTGCTGCTCTTGCAGAGGATACCAGGCTCAGTTCTCTGCACCCACATAGTAGTTCAAAACCATTGTAACTCTAGTAACCAACACCCTTTTCTGACCTCCTTGGACACACGTGTAGTACATAGACAGACACGCTGGCAACACACACACCCAAAAAAATTTAAAATATTTTGCCAGGTAGTGGCGGCACATGCCTTTGAGTCCAGCTCTCAGGAGGCAGAAGCAGGTGGATCTCAATAAGTTCAAGTCTATAAGAGCTAGTTCCAGGACAGGCTCCAAAGCTACAGAGAAACCCAGTTTTGAACAACCAACCAACCAACCAACCAATAAATAAATAAATAAATAGTTGGTAAAAAAGAAAGGGAGTGATGCTATGTAGGGAACAGGATAGCAGCCATATATATATATTTTTAAAAAGATTTCTATTCTTCTGCATTCACAGAGAATTACAGAATTCAGAAGAAGAAAAAAGCAAACAATAGGAACCCTGTCTGTGGGGCCTCTCTTTGGTTCGAGAAGGGCAGGGAATGTTTTTGACAGAGAGTACAATTTGCAGATTAATGTTAATCTAATAAATGGAAGATAGTACACCCAATAACCTAAATTGTGACTTAAGCTCTTTCAACCAAAATAATCATCTGTTGCAAAGCACACACACACACACACACAACTTAAAACAAACAAAATAAACTTTGAGAAATAACCTAGTATTTTTGTCAAAGACACAAGTATTCTTAGGGCTGGAGATGTGCTTAAAACGGCTTAAAATGTGCTCCTTGCAATGCAAGCCTGAACGCCTGAATTTGATCCCCAGACCCCAAGATGTAAAGAGAGATCTGATTCCCAAATGTTGTCCTCTGACCTGAACACATGTATGCTGGTATGCATGTTCCCATATTTACACACACATAGATAAATTCTAAAACATAAAGGAAAAGTGTTCACGAGGAGACCTGGACACCAGGGCACACTATATGGGCAACTGTTCTCTCTGTAAGGATACTCCAGCTGCTACAAGCAGTGACAGACATCATCTCCTTCCCTGCAGAGAGCAAGTGGAGGCCTCCTGACAGCTGAGCACTGAGAAAAGATGACCATCTGCTTAGGCAGAAAAGCATAAGACTTTCTGGCATGGACACAAACTGCCAGGAGTTCCAAACACAATCCAGACAGAAACAGAACAGCTAAGAGAATAATTCAGTTGATACCAAGAAAACAAGCAGGAATACATACCACTTGATCACTCACTGGCCTCATCATCCGGGCCAGGACATTAAGTAAGTCTTGTCTCTTAAGGAACTGAAAAAAATGAGAGAAATGAGTCAATATCTTGCAGTTTAAACTTTCAGAAGGGCCTTGGAGGGGACTCAAATGCTTCATTTGCCAATTACTAGAAATATAATACTCAGATCTATTTTAAATCAACAAGGAAGAAGGAAGCACTAAGTTTTTATCAGCAGTCACATTTAAAAAACGAAGGAAGGATATATGTTAGAGCAGAAGTTCCCGACTTACCCTCAGCTGGATAAGCATGCCTTCACAGCACACTCGACCAGAACACCACAGGTTATAAATGTGCTCATTCTCCTGATTCAACTTTCCCGTGCTTGTGGCTTCTTTGTTAGTCCCATCATCCCCTAGGAGTAAAAGCACTGAATCTCACTCACTGAACTTTTGGATCACTTTAGGACAGCAATGCTTTGCTATCGCATAGACTCCCCTTTGAAAGGAATTAAAGGACCAGCCTGTGGTTTTGACTTCAGTATTATTTTAAAGGTTTCACGCCTCAGTAGATTTGATGTATAAATTTACCATCTGCTTCTTCACACATTAATTCATCTAGTCTTGAAGACATGCTCAGTGTCATTTCTCAGTCAACAATCTTCATAACAAGGTTTGTATATAAAGCCTGGATTTTCTGTATGAGTTTCATTAATTCCAATTACTTCTGACAGAGTAGAGTTCAATGGCAGTTCCAACACATTCCAAATCTCCAAAATCATTATTTTATTTCAATTTTATACCAACTTCGGCAAACAACATCTCCCAAAGTTTCCTGTGCAAAATTACCGATTTCCACTGTTCCACCACTTTCTGTTGCTATCCACTCACGTTTCTCTGTGAATTTATGCAGAGAGCTGAGAGAATGGTATCTGTCACTGCTACCAGTGCACAGTAGGCACCAAGACGGTGGGCATCAAGGGCACAGACAGGTTTCTTTGTCATCTGCTAGGCCAAGTGTGCTGGGGTGCTGAGGGCTGCTGCACGGGCTAGTAGAGGTTGGACTTCTCTTTACTTTTAAAACTCTTTATTGTCTCCATAAAAAAAGTTATGGACTCTGGCATGAAGAAGAGGGAGGGCAATGAGCCAAAGAATACTTCCCCACTGGCCCCACCCCCAAATTCCTTGATCAAAAACACCTTTTAAAAACTATAGAATAGGAAAGAGAACATTCATCCACTGGTAAACAGATAGAGAGTTCTAATAACGTGGCTGCAATTTAACCCCTTAAATAAGTTTTAACATCATTTCCTTGTAACAAAAATAAAAAGTATATCCAATTAACAGTGTTGCAACAAAAAGCAATTTAAAAATGTACGACAAAAAAAGAAAGGAAGGAAGGAAGGAAAAATATGTGAGGCCTAGGAAGGTAGAGGCAGGAGAATCCATGTGAATTTGAGGCAAGTCTGACCTACAAGGCAGTACAAGGCTGGTCAGGGCTACATAATGTATCAGCAAGATAGCTCAGCTGGTGAAGACACTGGTTACCAAGTCTGATGACCTGAATCCAGGTCCCACATGTGGAAGGAGAGACTGATTCTCACAAGTTGTTTTCTCTGCTTATGCTGTCACAAGCATCCCTGTCCACTTCCAAAAATTAATTAATAACAAATTAATTAATCAATTAAAACCACCAAAACCAAAACAATGCATGTAAAGTTCATAGAAAAATGTGCACACAGAGCAGCTGACAGAAGGGAGTGCGTATTACTAGGGAGAGATAAGGTGCTAAGTGAGTGTAAAAGGCGTCTAACCTCACAATCCACGCTACACTAAGTGAGTGTGAAGGGCATCTAACATCACAACCCACACTACACAGCTAACTACTCTACAGACTTCGTGTAGATTGGTGGAGCTAAAAATCAAAGTACCCAAAACTAAAGAACTTGTGAGGATTTCCTAGTTCTAAAAATTGAACTGAAATTATTTACCAAAATACCTAACATGACAAAGTTTCTTGTTTCAATCAGAATTTTAACATCTTACTTTTACACTGACTGTATCCAAAGCTATTTAGCAATTATATTATTGACTAATGAGAAAATGAGTTTATATATTTAATTTACGTATACACAAAACCCAACTAAATGGGATCCTTGGAGACAACAAATGCATTGTAGTGAGCATTCCAAAAAAATGTTTAGCTACTTCTGCTGAGGGGACAAGCTATTCTTAACAGATTGTTTCCAGGTAGGCCGCTGGACTCATACCAGCTCAACTTACCCACTAAGGTAAAATTGCTCTCCAAAAGCTCTCTATGAGAGTTAAACCAGGCCTGAGCAAGCCGGCTGTTCTTATTCTTCCCAATGATGTAGTTCATGATATAGGCAAGCAGACCAGTCACCATCAGGATCTCTAGATAATAACTCTCCCAGCTGTTCTGGAGGTGTGCAGGGACCTTAAGAAGGAAAAAGTCCCATTTAATGTTGGCTGAGACCGAACATGGAGACTAAGTAAGGGATTAAAAAAAAAACACAAAACAAAACAAGAAAGCTCATAGACAGAAGTGGATACTTTAAATTACTGTCACTGGAAAAAAGTTACACTTTAGAGGCTAGAGAGAAGATTCAATGGTTAGGAGCACTGGCCACTCTTGCAGATGACACAGTTCAGTTCCCGGCACCCATGTGATAGTTTGGGGACCTGATGCTATCTCTGGCCTCCAAGGGCAACAGGCACGCACAAGATGCACTGAACAGTCATGCAGACAAAACATTCCCAACAACAACAAAAAAGTTTCACTTCAAAAAATACGCCCATTTTGATCTTCTAGGTCAGCTTTTTATTTATTTTGTTTTTGTTTTTTTCCAGATTGGGTTCTGTAGCCCTAGCTGTCCTGAAACTTGATTTGTACAACAGAGAACTCAGAGCAGTGCCTGCTTGTGCCTCTAGAATGTTGGGACCAAAGTCATGCACTGCCGCCATCACCTGGCTCTGGGTCAGGGTCACTTTCCAGAGTATGCCCAAACGTTACTTGAATTAAGTAAAAGTAGGAGGGCTAGTCTACTACACAGGAGTTGCTTCATAGCCAATGGATGTTTAAAGAATTCATGTTAAGCTCTTTATTAGATTACACTACTATTCCAACAACCACCATAAGCCAGGGATTACGGTTATGGTATTGATGATTTACTACTCAGTTTGGAGTTTAGAATCTTATATACTTACATCAACGATTGTTATTGGATCTTTATTTTTGCTAGAAGAGGTATCTGGTTTGTCTTCATAACCCTCAAATTCTTCATCATCATATGGTTCACTTTCAGTATCTCCCTCCTATAAAAACAAAACACAGTCATGTCTACAAATGGCGCTGGCAGTTGCGTCTCACTTTGTGGGTAACACTTGCAGAGGAAAACATAACTAGTAAGCAACAAATACAGATCACAGAGCTATAAAATGCTTTTAGGAAAATTGAGGTGTAAGTTCCAGAAAACTAACATATGTGGTAATGACATTTAATAATACACTTCATATGTGAAGTTTGATAAGCGAGCTGGGTGCAGTGGCAAGTGCATTTAATCCCAGCACTTGGGAAGCAGGTAGATCTCTGCTGGTCTATATTGCAAATTCCAGGACAGCCAGGGCTGTCTAGTGAGATACTGCTTCAAAACAAACAAAAAAACAGACAGGAAAGTTTTTTTTCAAATAGAATAAAACCTTGTCCCTGTTTTCTCACTACTTCTTACTACTACACACATAAAACTATATGAGTGTTGGTGGCACACGCCTTTAATCCCAGCACTCAGGAGGCAGAGGCAGGCAGATCTCTGTGAATTCCAGGCCAGCCTGGACTGTGGAGCGAGTTCCAGGACAGGCTCCAAAACCACAGAGAAACCCTGCCTTGAAAAATCACAGAAAGAGAGAGAGAGAGAGAGAGAGAGAGAGAGAGAGAGAGAGAAACTCCAAAACACCAAAAGGATGATGCCGCTTACTTTACACCTTACACCCAAAGTTCTAAATTTTCACTCATACATTATCTATCCTCAGTTCAGCTCTTATCTACTACAGTAACTACAGAAAACGGAATGCTTTATCAAGGCAGGAAGAACACACCACAAAGTCTTTAGAAGAGCTTTGCTAGGTGGGTGGCGCACACCTTTGTCCCCAGCACTGGGGTGGCATGTCGGGCAGACCTGTGGGTTTGAGGCCAGCCTGGTCTACAAAGTCAGGTCCAGGACAGCCAGAGCTACAGAGGGGACCTTATCTTTAAAAAGAAAAAAACAAAAAAACAAAACAAAAAAAAAAACAGTCAGAGAGAGAATAAACTAGAGGAGCTCTAACTGAACAGAAATGAAGATTCCAGAGGGTAAAAGTTTCCCTACACCTGGGTTTTTGTTTGAGAAAAGCACTAATAAATTTTTCCATCCTCTGAATTTTTCAATAAATCAATAAGTACCCTATTTTGTGGAGCTAAAGAAATGGCTCATAAATTAAAAGCACTTATTGCTCTTGCAGAGGACCTGGATTTGGTTTCGACAACACACGTGGCTGCTTAGGTCCAAAGGATCCACTTCCTTCTTCGGGCCTTCAAGAGAATCAGGCATGCCATACAGTATACTTATATGCAGGCAAAACACTCAGACACAACAGTAAAAAGAAATAAATCCACCCAGCAGTGGTGGTGCATGCCTTTAATCCTGGCACATGGGAGGAAGAGACAGACGGATATTTGTGAGTTTAGAGGCCACACTGGTCTACAAATCGAGTTTCAGGACAGTCAGGGTTTCAGGAGTTTCAGGGTTTCTGCACAGAGAAACTCTGTCTCAAAAACACCAAATAAATAAATCATAAACAAAAACCTTACTTGGGTATCTGCATCTTCAAAATCTCCTTCTTGGTTTTCATCCTGCCCTTCCAATTCCACAGTGGTCTCATCTTCATCATCTTCAGTAGTTATCACTCGCTGAGGAGATTCCGTAACAGAGTCTTCCATGACATCCTCAAACTCAGCGAAATCATTATCATCATACTCTACTATGTCTTCCTCATCCTCGAAATCATCAAACTTGGCTTCAGAGACACTCCCAAACACCAAAAGGACAGCACAGAAAGCGTAGAAGGCTTTCATTGCGTCTTAAAAATACGCTGTGAGAGACAGAGAGTGTGTGCTAAGTGAACGATCATTCCACATACAGGCTCAACACAGTTCGTAAACTGCTAGTAATCTACAAACCAGCTAGGAGTGGTGGCACATACTTGTAATCCCAGTACTTGGGAGATAGAAAGAGGACCAGAAGCCCATGGCCAGCCATGGCTACATACTGAGGTCAAGACTAGACCCTTAATTAAAAATAAAATAATCACAGGGCGGTGGTGGTATGTGCCTTTAATCCTAGTACTCTGGAGGCAGAGGCACGTGGATCTCTGTGAGTTCAAGGCCAGCCTGGTCTACAGATTGAATTATTAGTTACAGGACAGCCTGGACTGTTATATAGAGAAACCCTGTTTTAAAGAACCCATCCAAAAATAAATAAATAAATAATAATAATAATAATAAAAAACCCAGAAGACCAACCAAACACTAACTTCAAAAAATCTGAGTTTATCTTCCTCAATATTTTTGGATTCAGAGAGTACTATGTTTAAAAACAAACAAAAAAAACCAATGAGGTGAAGTCAAAAGGCATGCGGTCTATCAAGATTCTGTCAACAGTTATCTGCAAAAACTTGTACAAGTTATTAATTTCTTTAGATACGATTTTCTAAAATCCTCTATCTATGTTATATAGTCCATCAGCTTTTTTCCCCCTCAAAATAAAAGTATTTTTGAGAGACTATTAAGTCCTTTCTAAAAGAACTAAAGAGTTCAGAGGAGCAATAAGATACAACCATTATACATAAATGGTTATGAAATAATCCATGAATAAAACACACCAGGACTGAGATGAACCTTGGCTGCACAGTGCTTGCAGTCATTCTTCTGACACACATAAGGTTGCTGGCTTCGTCATCAGCTCTGAAATGGAAAGCCATTTACCTACAGATCCACTGTGCGTGTTTGCCCTACAGACATGCTCTCCTGGACAAACACCACTATTATCATCATCATAAGTATGAATACTTAAATACAGAAAGAAGATGCAATGGAGACGTCAATCAATGCAACAATGCAATGTGGCAGAAAGGGCTCATCCAAAGAGTATTAATTTTGCATTAAATCTCAGAAGACAATGGAAAAAAATTCAACCAACAAAATCATTTACGTTTTCAATTCTGCTCCCTCCTCTAAACGGCAGTCCTCAGTCTAAAGAATGGCTATGTGTGAGTGTATTACAGACAGGGCACTGGCGGGTATTGTGAGAGCGTTACTTCTGATGATTAAACTATGTGTGTACCGTTACAAAAGGGCTGGGCTGATGAGGCGGCTCAGTGGATAAAGTCACTTGCCAACGAGCCGAAGGACTGAGTTTTATCCTTGGTCTGCCTCCACATGGTGGAAGCATGAAACCAAGTCTCATAATTTGTCTTCTGACCTCCACGTTCACACAGAGGTGTGAACCATTTTCTGACCCAAATGAATGAATGGATGTCATTTTTAAAATGTTACAAGGGAGGCTGGGTTTGTAACTCAGTTGGTAGAGTAGCTGGGAGTCTAGCACTGTGTAAAATTGGGTGGGGAGGCACACTCCTATAGTCCAAGCACTGGGGAGTCTGAGGCAGGGGGATCAAAGTTCAAGGGCATCCTCTTCTACAGTGAGCTCCTGGTCTCTCCAGGCTTCGTGAGACCCTGTCTCAAGAACTCGAAGGAGTGGTAGGGTGGGGTGCATGCCTTTAATCTCAATACACAGGAGTCAGGGGCAGGCAGATGCCCAAGTTCAAGGCCAACTAAGATTACACAGTGAGATCCTACGTTAAAAAAAAGAAAGCAGCAGGGTGTAGTGATTTAATCTTATAACCCCAGCATCAGGCATCCTCAGCTAAAAGGCCTGCCCTACAGAGTTTTAAACCAGCCTGCAGGAGTGAGACACTGTCTCAAAATACAAATAGTTTCTGCTTTAGTGTTCCCCTTTTCAAGTAGAAGTAACTATTTACCATTGTCAGCTTGATTAACAGACACTCTAAAGGTCTGACCATTTCGAGCTGAGTCTATGCTTGGAAAGTTTGCACACAAGCATTTCTAATGCAATTCATACAGCTAGGCTCCCTCAAGGTTATTTAAGTTAAAACGATCCAAGGCACATGCTGCACCTGTCAACCCATTTCTCAAATGCACAACTCTCCGCCAGGTCACCCAGCCTCGAGGACTTCTGAAGCGGAAGCCACAAGAATGTAGGACAAGCACAAGCATTAACAAGGCCTGTCTTGACTGTCTTCGGCCAGTTCACTCAGTCAGTCTCTCCCGCAACCACTTAACTCCAGACTGAAAACCAAGTAAGTGAGGCAATCACTGCTAGTCCTTTCGGGTCCTCATGGTATTAGTCAGATTCCCGTCTCCTTCCAGAGTGTTGGCTACAAACAAGTTGTTTGTTAGAAACCTTCAGCTAAGGTCGGACTCTAGAAGGGGTTGCTTCTGTCAAACCTCGCGTGCCTGGTCCTGCCTCCACCACCCATGGAGAACACTAGTGTCTACGCTCCATTCTTCCCGGCTGCACATCAGAAATTTTCTCAGATTTTGCCCTGCTAGTTGGGAATTTGCTCAAAGCCACTAATATGACCCCCAAACCCTCCTAAAATCCAACAACAACAACAACAAAAATGGACCTGAAAAGAACGTACAGAGACTTACTCTTCTTTTTAATTCGGGAGAAATAAGTTGCGAGGATTGCTGATGTCACCACCAGCCGGACATAAAAAGGTTGGTTAGGTGAGAAACAGTGCCAGGCTCTGCGGCCACGCAACGCACAACTTAGTCACCGCTTGGCCTGGCTCGGCCACAGAGACTGGTATGTCACGGTCCGCTACCTACCTGCACCCGAGGCTGCAACCCGGCCAGGGGCTTCTGAGGCTACCACCTCCACCCAGCCTGCTTGCGTCTGGCCTCCGCCTTCGGGTCGTAAAGACTTCTATGGGCCGCGATTGTCACTGGGTCACAGCCCAGAACAGGTAGCTCAGTCACGGCACCGTACACTTCACGTAGCTTCAGCCGTCCGTTACGTAGAATGCGTACGGCTGGTCTGCGTCTGCGCACAGAGTGGGGGCGGGGGGCGCAAGGCGAGGTTGGGCTGCCGGGAAAATTACGTAACCCTCGCCGCTCCTGGGCCTAGAAGGGCTCTAGCGGGAGGCTGGGTTCCTCCAGTCCTGTCAGGTTGACGTCACTTTGGTCCCGGTGCTCCGGAAGTTAAAGGTGGCCATACTCTATGGAACCATGTGGGCATAGGCATGGAGGGAACTGTTGCCCAAATCGTTCTTTTGCAAGGGACAGGAATTAAGGGAGGGTCGAGAATCTTATGTAAATGAGGTTTTCGGTCAACATCCTTTTATCTTGGGTTTTTGAGTAGTTCCTGGTTACTTTCGCTCTGCTCTATTCAACCCTTATCTGCTCTCTCTTTTTTGTAAGATCCAGGGTTTCTCTGCGTAGCCCTGGCTGTCCAGGGCTGGCCTCGAACTCACAGAGATCACTGCTGGGATGAGAGGCTTGCGCCACCATGCTCTAACATGAGCCGTAAACATTCTCCATCCAGAACCAGGTTCCTGTCCAGTGTGTGTGACGCGCCTACGACGTGTTCCGGGATCTGAAGGGCGCGCGTAATTGGCGCCTTTCGGGAGCCGTAGCCCCAAACCACACCCTTCGGCTCGCGCCCTCTTCAGCGCGCATGTCAGACGCGCGTCCCCCTCCCCCTTTAGTCAGCAACGGGCCGTGAGGCGGCGGCGGCGAAGGGGGCGGAGGAGGCGCTTGGCTGAACGCGGCTCCGTTCCGCGCGTATTGGGGGCCGTGTGGTTCTTTGGCGCCGACTGTAGCCGCAACTGCATCCGTGGCTGCAGCCGCAGGTTTGTGTGAATGGCTTTGCAGACGCGGAACCGCTCGCCCCGGGGGCACGGGAGGTAACTGGGGCCTGGCGAGGGCGGAGGAACCGCGGCCCTCGCTTAACAAAGAATCGGCGGAGCCTCGGGACCCGGGCGGCTTCGGGGGTCCGGGGAGAGACGGATGCGCCTTATGGATCCCCGAGGGAGGCCCTGCCGAGCTGCGTTCGCCTTCGCACGGCTCCGCTCCTCGCACGTCTGGACAGGGCCCACTTGGCGGCTTTCCGGAGGCGGCGCCTGCTGGGCTACAGGAAGGGATTTTTAGGGTGCTGGGCTGTGAGAGCCAGTGGGAGGATGTTGATCCCTGTTAGGTAGCTGGTTGAGCTTGCAGGCCCGCAAACGGGGTTCTCGGTAGCGGGAGTTGATATAGACGGCCTCACATAGAAGATCTTGGAGAAACCTTGGGTAGATCATGATTAGCATCAGGATACATAGTTAGAAACTTTTTGCGGCCTACATGAGCCTACGTGATGTGAGTACATAAAATATGTATGGATTGCAAGCACGTATGAGAAACGTAAAGAAAAATTATACTAGTCAGTGTGGGGGCATATGTAGGCTTTTCTGTCATTTCAGCGTTTCTCTCTTTGCCCCTACTCCTTTAGGCTGTCGTTCAGTTTCCTGTGGCTTCCCTGCGTATTTTCATTTTTTTGCAAAAGATATTTCTCTATTGTCTATTACACACCTGACCGGAGGGGGCTGTGTTTTCATTTGCTTAAAGTTGGTAGAGCCAAGTCCTGTTCTGGCAGGTAGGAAGTGAGCAGTAAATGTTTGATACAGAAATTTATTCTCCCAGCGATGAAAATATTATTTTCCTTTACCTAGAAGGAGAATTACATGGCCTAATGTGACACATTCCAAAGAAGTTTCATTATTGCCTCTGTGCTTGGTCTGTCTTGCACTGCTTAAGTATTAATAAGTCTGTGACCCCTGCCCTCATGAGCCTTTCTTTCTTTAAATACTTTTTTTATTTTTTTATTTTTTTGTTTTCTCGAGACAGGGTTTCTCTGTGTAGTTTTGGAGCCTGTCCTAGAACTCACTCTGTAGACCAGGCTGGCATCGAACTCACAGAGCTCCTCCTGCCTCTGCTCCTGAGTGCTGGGATCAAAGGCATGTGCCACCACCACCTGGCTTACACATGTTCATTTATGTGTGTACCATACCCTCCCGTAGAGGTCAGAGACCAACCAGTAGGGAGTCGGGTTTGTTCTTTCACCATGTGGGTCCTGAGGGTGGACCACAGGTCAGGCTTGGTGTCAAGCGCCTTTACCCACAGAAACATTTCAGCAGAAACTTTCTGGTGCAGAATAAGAGACAGGATTATGTTATGGTGTATGATACAGAATAATCTGTACCTACCGAGGAAACTTCAGAGAAACTGCAGTTTGCAGGAGAGTGGGTAGTTATACAAATGCTGTCTCAGCAGTGTAGAAGATGGTGAGGGAGTCCATCCTGGACCTATCTGGAGAAAGCAGTGTTCTGCGCCCGGAAGCAGCAGTCACAAAGGCTTTGAAGAGGACAAAGCTGGGCGGGCATGTTAGAGAAACAGTGTGTTTGTAGCAGTTAGCAAATGAGGGAATTATAGGAGATAAGGCCAGCAAAGAAGAGTAGAACAGTAACCAAGGCCTTGTAGACTATTTTGAGGATTACATCTTCACACTGCACAAAATGGGGCTGTTTGAGCAGAGGGGTGATAAATTTTGACTTCCATTGTAATACAATTCCATTCACTGTCATTTTAGGTTGTCTAGTTTAATTCGTGGAAGAATACACTTATTTATCTTCTGTCTATTTCATAGTTGCTGGTTGTCCTTAGTTTCATTAAACCTGACAGGAATAGGGTGTTTCTAAAATAACTCACCCAGCACTCACATAAATCTAGGTTTGGAATGTGATGAAATTCTTGGGTTTTGTACAGCTTTTCATTACATTAAAGAAGGTAACAAAATAGTTGTTTACTATTCTGTTACAATTTCTCATTAAGCCATTGAAGAACTAATTGAGTATACTGTGTGTAAGATGTTCTCAAAGCAAATTTTTAAGTAGAGTAGATACTAACCAACTGTCATTGTGACTCTCTTATGAAACTTGACCCACTTGACGACTTGGTAATCTTGGTTTCTTGTGAGTTATGTGACACCTGAATGTGAATCTGAGTTAAGAGAGCTGATAGTATCAATTTGCCAGTGGAGTGATTGATTTCTGGAGAAATGGTAAACATGTCTGTAGATGTGTGTTGAGCACGGTGCTCCATAGTGCTTCAATAAATTATTACTTTGATTTTTATTTGTTGTATATGGAACAGTCTCACTCTTTAGACCACTTTGGTCTAGAAACCACTGTGTAGCCCAATCTTTAACTAATAGGAGCCTCTCAGGTGCTACGCTTTTTTCCCCATTAACTTGGTTTTTTTACTTCTAAATTTTAAGGTATGGAAATCTAGAGCCCAGAGAGCTAAGTGACATCCTTGATGAGATTCGTGTTAGTGGTGACAGAACTGGAATATGAATATAGCCAAGTGGTGTTATTTTACAATTCTGTTGAGATTTCTTATTTTGGTGGTGCCCGGGCACCAAGTAAGACTTTCTACCATTTTCGTTTATCCTCCTCATTCAAGTTATAGCTCCTCCTTACACTTGCACAGTAAGCATGAATAATGAGTGTTTGCTTTCAAAAATTTAAGAGATTAAAGATAAGTATTCATTCATTTATCCTAATGCATAGTGTTCAAGAAAGAACACAGAACCAGGCAGTGGTGGTGCATGCCTTTAATCCCAGCACTCGGGAGCAGAGGCAGGTGGATCTCTGTGAGTTTGAGTCCAGCTTGGTCTGCAAGAGCTAGTTCCCAGGACAGGCTCCAAAGCTACAGAGAAACCCTGTCTCAAAAAACCAAAAAATAAAATAAAATAAAAATTAAAAAAAGTAAGTAGTTAAAATTATTTACTGCTGCAATACAATGCTTGATTCCAGTCTGACTAACTGTGGAAAGCCACCAAATTGAAGGCAGTGAGAAACTAAGTGGTATTTGAATTTAAAGGTATGAGGCCAAGATCTGAAAGAAGAGGGTCTTCTTGAGTATCTCAGCAAAGTAGAGCAGTGTATTAACAGACACAATGCTATTCTGCCAGAGGAAATAGAAATTCCTTTTGTTTTCAGTTTTGTTTCATTCTGACTTTATTTTATACTTTCCTATATAAAAGTCACTTTTATGTATTGTGAAATGTTTGTTAGTTGTAGATGCGTCTTCTAGGCGTATATCACATGAACTTTCCAGTACAACAGACATTCTTGAAACAGTTTGGAAACTATTGCTGTGTTAAGGACATTTACCTCAGTGAGTCCTCTGACGTCTGTCCGCAGGAGCTTAACTTCTTACCCTGCTTGCTTTAATTTCATAATATTTTTACTGTCTGAAATGGAATGGTTTTGTTTTTTACTCTTTCATGGACCACATTGAAATTCCCTGAGGGCTTTTTGATCCCATGACTATATCATCTGAGTCTTAGAAACTTGCTTGACACAAAATAAGCACTCCCTATATTTTACTAGAATGATCACTATATTTTACTAGAATGATGTGGTACTTAATAAATATCAGTGGATATCAGTGTTGCAATAGTGGAGGTACAGATAGAAAGGAAGGCATGTACTTCTTAGTGTTAGGGAAGCCCCGTTCAGAAAGTGATTAGTGGTCAGTATGAAACATTATGACACAGTCGATACTAGTACTAAGATCTAACTTGAGTTTATCTTGCTATATGGGTTAATTGTTTTCAGATTAGGTGTTTCAGTATTTTAAAGAATTTTCAGTGCTTGGGATGGGATCTTGGACCTCACATATGCTAGACAAGTGCCACACCACTGAGCTAGCTATACAGCTTCCCTAGAATTTTCTTTTTAAATCCAAATAATATTCTGTTGTATGTATATATGTAACATTTTGCCTAAACATTCATCTGTCATTGAACCCTTGGGTAGCTGCTACCTTTTCCCTATTGCTATTAATGTTTCTGTGAATTTGAGTGAACTTTGCTTTTGTTTGTGGGATGGGATGTATATCTAGAAGTGAAATTGCTGGGTTATATGCCAATTCTATTAACAGAAAAAATTAAAAACCAAAACATTTATTGACAGGATTCCAACTAGAATAAATGTTTTGTGGATTCCCTCCCAATCTGGCATGGATTTGTTTGTTTGTTTTAGTGGTGTTTA